ATAAACATAAGATATGTAATAAATATATAATAAATCATCTAGTCCATATTCAAATTTCCCCAGTTTCTCTCTTTTTTTTTTCATCTTTTTCAAATGTATCTTTTGTAGCTTTTTTACCTCCTTGAACCAGAATCCACTCCATTGTTAGGCATTGCATTTGAATGTTGTCTTTTTAGTCTCTCTGTCTAAAATAATGCCCCCACTTTTTATCTTGAAATTGACGTTTAGTAGTTTAGTTGTCTTTTAGAATGTCTCGTTCTAAGTTTGCCTTTTTCCTACTTCTGTCAACTGATTTTCCTCTATTCCTTCATATTACTGTGAATTGGAAGTTAGTTCTAGAGCCCTGATTAGATTCAGGTTAACTATTTTTGGCAAGAATGCTTCCTGGGTAGGGATGTGTATTTCATGTTGCTTCCCATCACGTAGAACATAGGACCAGTGATACTCAGCTCTCTCCATGGGTAAAGTGCATTTTCCCCTTTGCGGTGTATATGGTTTTGTTTTTGTACTTACGACTTTCTGTAGGATAGATTCCAAAAAAATATGTACTGGATCAGAGATTATTGACATTTATAAATCTTTTGATTTTAATATATATTGTCAGATTGCTTTTTAAAACTTTGTGCCTAGAGTGATTTGTCAGTGTTCCATTTTGCATCCGAGCAGACACTGAGGATGCCCAGTGGCAGCAGATGCTTCTAGTTTGGTAGGAAAATACGGTGTATCCTTTTTATTTTTTATTTTTTTATTTTTTTAAAAGATTTTATTTATTTATTTGACAGAGAGAGAGAGTGAGAGCAGGAACACAAGCAGGGGGAGTGGGAGAGGGAGAAGCAGGCTTCCCGCAGAGCAGAGAGCCCAATGTGGGGCTCGATCCCAGGACGCTGGGATTATGACCTGAGTCGAAGGCAGACGCTTAATGACTGAGCCACCCAGGCGCCCCACGGTGTATCCCTTTTAAAAATTACATTTCTTACGAGGGACGGACTACACCTGGGTCGGCGGTGAGTTTCCTGCATCATTTGCTTGTAGTCGCGATGCGTTTGCCTCTCAATCCCAAACCTTTCCTGAATGGATTAACAGGAAAGCCAGTAATGGTGAAACTTAAGTGGGGAATGGAGTACAAAGGGTACCTGGTATCTGTAGATGGTTATATGAACATGTAGCTTGCAAACACAGAAGAATACATAGATGGAGCATTGTCTGGACATTTGGGTGAAGTTTTAATAAGGTGTAATAATGTCCTTTATATCAGGGGTGTTGAAGAAGAAGATGGGGAAATGAGAGAATAGAATCTCTTGTGGGGAATCTTTTTTATATATATTTCTAGACAATAAACTTTTTTTTCAAAAAAAATTACATTTCTTTCATTACTTTCTATTACTTTTCTTGTTTGTCAGTCATTTGTAGATCTTTTATAAATTACGTCCTTTAACTGTTTACCTATTTGATACTAGAATTACTTTTGATTTGAGATCATATAATAATGGTAGTTCATTCTTATATTTGTTTTTTATTTGTGTATCTTTTTTGTATAAAAAAATTTAGACATCCTTTCTCATCAGATATACTTTTTTTCTTTGTAACTTCAGTTAGAAAGTCTCCCCTGTCAAGAGATGCATCTACTTCTCTCTTACTCCTGACTTTCAAAAATACTGAAGTCTTGGGGTGCCTGGGTGGCTCAGTCAGTTAAGCGTCTGCCTTCAGCTCAGGTCATGATCTCAGGGTCCTGGGATCAAGCCCCACCTTGTCGGGCTCCCTGCTCAGTGGAGAGTCTGCTTCTCCTTCTCCCTCTGCCCCACCCCACTCGTGCTCTCTCTCTCTCTCTCAAGTAAATAAAGTATTTTTAAAAATACCTCTTTCAAAAATCATTTTCTTTACTATAAAAAATAACATAAAAATTCAAGCAGTTCAGAAGTGTTTAAAATGAAAAGGCGGAGAAGCAGGGGAAGTGGGCATAGGTGGTCAAAGGCACAAACTCATATTTGAAAGATGCGTAAGTCCTGGGATGTAAGGTACAGCCTGAGACTGTAGTTAACAATACTGTGTTCTATACTTGACAGTTGCTAAGAGAGTGGGTTTTAAAAGTTCTCATCACAAAAGAACACTGTAACTATGTGTGGTGTTGGATGTATTAACTAAGCTTGTTGTGATCATTTGCTGTATGTCATGTTGTACACCTTAAACTTTCACAATGTCCTGTCAATTATATCTCAGTAAAGCTGGGGGGGAGAAGCATAAAATTTTAAAACATCTTAAGAAAAAAACGAAAAGGGGGCGCCTGGGTGGCTCAGTCATTAAGTGTCTGCCTTTGGCTCAGGTCATGATCCCAGGGTCCTGGGATCTAGGCCTGCATCAGACTCCCTGCTCAGTGAGAAGCCTGCTTCTCCCTCTCCCACTCCCCCTGATTGTGTTCCCTCTGTCGCTGTCTCTCTCTCTGTCAACTAAATAAATAAAATCTTAAGAAAAAACAAAAGAAAAAAACGAGAAGAAAACTGGGAGTTCTCCCCCTCCCCTCCCAATAGCTTCACTCCCCAGAGGCAACTATTTCTGTAGTTTGGTGTGTACATGTCAGGCTTCTTTCCTGTGCATTCATGTAGTCACACACCTTCATGGAGTCTTTTTGTTTTTACACAAATACGATCCCATTGTGATCCTCGCCTCTTGTCTTTCGCATCCAGCAATATTTTATCAGTGTCTTTCCAAATCAGTATGTAGAAATGGACCTCATTTTTACTGGCTCCTTGTTATTCCAGAGTGTGACTATCCCAGGGTTTTACTCTTCCTCATGAATGGACTTTTAACGTGTTTCTTTTAGGAAGAGGGGCTCCTAAAATCACTACAGTGAATACTCTTTGTGCATGCATTTCTGTGGTCGTGTTGTGTTGAGAGAGAAACTGATCTCCTCTGTCCATCTGGACTTTATTTTGATGCATAAACTAAGATCTGTATTTATGCCTTTGTTTTACAAACAGCTAACTGGGAAAGCACCCCTTCCTGAGTATCCTTTCCCTTTTCCTTCAATGTACGCGTTTCATTTATCTCACTTGAAACTCTTGTACATATTCGGGTTTCCTCCCGGGCTGTTAGTCAGTGCCGTTTATGGTTCTGTTTTGTGTTTAGGTGGTCAGATGTGTATGGAGGTGGGTGAGCTGGGTGGGCAGCTCTTGCATGTTTGTAGACCAGGCTGCGGCTGGCGGGTGTGACCCTTTCTTGTGTTCCAGCCTGGCTGCCTAACACACTGTTTTTTCTTTGCCCCCAGTACCTGTTCCTGACCTTCCCAAGGATTGTCTTCATGCTGGGCTTTGTCATCATGCTGAGCTTCCTTCTGGGGGGCTACTTGTGCTTTACTTTGTACCTGGCTGCCACCAACCAGACCACTAACGAGTGGTACAGAGGTGACCGGGCCTGGTGTCAGCATTGCCCCCACATGGCCCGACCCCCATCAGCAGAGCCCCAGGTCCACCGGAACATTCACTCCCATGGGCTTTGGAGCAACCTCAGGGAGATCTTCCTACCTGCCACTGCACATTATGAGAGAAAGAAGATCTAAGAACGGGAAGTGTTACTGCCACTTAAATATAGTATACATTTATTTATACTTATAGCTACTTTCTAAGCATTGGTGTGGTGTGTTTTGGTTTCGGGGGTCTTTTTATCTGGCTTCTGCATGTTTATAAATTGGCTTTCAGTGGTTAAGGAAGGGGTGCCTAATCCTTACAGCTGCCATGCTAGATCCAGTGGTACAAACTCCCCTTGTTCATCCTCTGTTCCCTCAGCCTGTTGGAACAGAGTATATCTCAAGTCCTGGTGCCAAGGGGATCAAAGATGACTTCTCAGAGGTTCCTGCTAACCTTGGTCTCCCACTGTAGACTCTTGGCTTCTGACAGGAGGGGCCTTGACTGTGTCTCCTGACGTGCAGGAGAGTCTCAGTGAGGTGGGGTTGTGCCTGGTTGTACCCTCTTTGATGCCCTTTCCATCTCTTCCAGGGTAAGGCCTTGGCTCTTCATCTCCTTAATCATGCCCAGCACCCTCACCCCGGCCCTCCTTGTAGCCGGCATGGGCCTTTTACACAGGCCCAGTCTTGTGCTTGTGGCCCTCTGCCTGCCCTGCACTGGCCTCTTGTGACCATGTTCAAGTCTTTCCTGCCCTATTTTTAAAATTCCAAACTAACACCCGGAGCCCCCATCCTGCCACTGCCCCGTTAATTCAGTGCAAAGAGATGGATGCAGAAGAGCTTCATAGAAAGCGGTGAGGGTTTTTAGGAGGGGGCAGTTTTCAGGAACAGGATACCTCTGATTCCCATGGCCAGCCACACTGGTGGGGTCGGGAAGTAGGGGGACAAGAACTTGGAGGCCGGGGTCCGGGAGGCATCCTTGGTTCCTGCAGCCCCGAGTTCCAGACTAGATAAAATCTTTGACACGGCCTGCCGGCCTGCGGAGACCTAAGCCACTGCGGCAGCACGCCTCTGTTACAGGTGGAAAAGCGCGGTGAAATCCATAGACTTTGGAGCGCCGCGCAGAGCAAGCAAGGGGAGCTTCGCGGCCTGCGCGCGGGCGGGTGGAGCGCACAGCCCAGTGAGCGCTCGGTGGACGCGGCAGCCCAGCTCCGCCACGGTGGACGCGCTCGGACCCAGGTCCCGGGGCGGTCGCGGGGCCCGGGGGCGGGGCCTGAGGGGCGGGGCGTACCTCCCTCCGCGCGGGCGGGCCGAGCCGCCAGGTGGCGCCCTCCCGAGAGCCGGCCCTCGCCGCGGCCAGCGCTTGGCCCCTGCAGGCCGCCGTCGCCGCGCCCGGCATTCCGCCGCCGTTCGGCTCGGCGGCGTCGGGCTCCCGCCGCCTTCGGTGGCGCCGCAGTCGCACAGCCGGGTGCCCGCTGGCCGGCGGCGGCGGCGGACATGGCCCCCTGAGCAGGCCAGAGCGGGAGCGGCGGGCGGGCGGGCGCCGGGGTTGGCGGGCGGAGGCCGGGTCGCGGCCTCTTTGTCTCGGCGGCGGCGGGCGCGCCCGCGGGGCCCGGGGCGGAAGTGCCGACGCGCTCCGGGCGCCCCGGGCCGCAGCGGCCGCACCATGAGCGACATCCGCCACTCGCTGCTGCGCCGCGACGCGCTGAGCGCCGCCAAGGAGGTGCTGTACCACCTGGACATCTACTTCAGCAGCCAGCTGCAGAGCGCGCCGCTGCCCATCGTGGACAAGGGCCCCGTGGAGCTGCTCGAGGAGTTCGTGTTCCAGGTGCCCAAGGAGCGCGGCGCGCAGCCCAAGGTGCGGCGGGCGGCCGGGATGCCCGCGTCCGCCAGAAGGAAACTCTCGCTCCTTTTTCCGCCCCTCGCGGTGACAAGCATTGGCCAGCCACAGACCCTCTTGCCATCAGCGGCTCGGTTCTCGCCCTTGGCCGCGCTCCTTCGCAGCAGCCCCAATCCACCTGCTCTGGCTTCCTGAGCATTGCTCAGCTGTCGGCCTGTGCCGGGCGTGCGACAGCCCAGGTCTCGGTGGTGCTGCCGGAAGAGACGTTAAAGGCCTGTAATCGAGTCTCACACCGCAGCAGGTCATCATCCTGAGTGCCCCAGGATGATGTCGAATTCTGTATAGTGACATTTCCTGGGATTAACCGAGTTCTTCCCCCTGGGACCCGGGCTTTAGAGGGGTGAACGGTTCCCAGGGGGAAAAGAGGTTATTTCCTGTTTTCTCACCGTATGGATTAAAGCGCACGTTAAAGCTAAATGTCTTATCGCTTCTCTTGGATTTGTTTTACAGAGGTTGAATTCACTTCAGGAGCTCCAACTTCTTGAAATCATGTGCAATTATTTCCAGGAGCAAACCAAGGACTCTGTCCGGCAGATTATTTTCTCATCCCTTTTCAGCCCCCAAGGGAACAAGGCTGATGACAGCCGGATGAGCTTGTTGGGAAAACTGGTGTCCATGGCAGTGGCTGTGTGTCGAATCCCGGTGTTGGAGTGTGCAGCCTCCTGGCTCCAGGTACTTCTCTAATAGCCTTCTCCTGAGAATCTCTGAAGAGGAGTTTAGTGTCAGGAATTTTCCCTTAATTGGATTTCGGGAGAGACCTTTTCTATGTGTTATCTCCTTGATGTCACTACCCTGTATGCTAATACCCTACACCTACATTTAGATACAGGTAGTACCCATTCCTGACAAAACCATAGTTTGTAATGGTAAATGAATTTAAGAAAAAAAAAAGTCTTCATCTCCAGGACAAGCGAAAAATCGTTTTCCTTAGTTGAAAATGATAAGGTAGTATTTTGAAAACAGCTATGCATAATGCAGCCTTAGAGATAGGATGTGTGTGTGTGTGTGTGTGTGTGTATTTTTTTTTTTAAGATTTTATTTATTTATTCATGAGAGACAGAGAGAGAGAGAGAAGCAGAGGGAGAAGCAGGCTCCCAAGGAGCAGGGAGCCCGATGCGGGACTCGATCCCAGGACCCTGGGATCACGACCTGAGCTGAAGGCAGATGCTCAACCATCTGAGCCCCCCAGGCGCCCTATATATATATTTTTTTTTTAAGATCACTGTAAGTTAAATTATACGGTTAGGTCGGTAAGCATGTCAGTTGTTTTGCATTGTTCCAGGGTGACATTATAAAGATCATGGCTCTTCTAATGGATATGGATGTAAGAGCCTTCTAAAGTGTTTTTAAATATCAAAGAATATCAGTAGAATTTGTGTCAGATGGTATTTTGAAAGATTCATTTTGTTTTGCTTTTTGGTTACTCAGAGTTTTTAAAAAATTGATAATCCAGTAATTATTAACTCAGAATTAAGATTAACATGATTCTCAACTAAGCTAACAGAATTTACCACATTCAGTTTCACAAACCTGCTTCATTCTCAAGTACTCGAAGACTTTGGTGTTGGGTTTGTTTCCCCAATTTATGTAGATGTTTTCCTTGAAATCTGTTTATCCTCAAAATTTGGCTAGAAAAAAATATATTATTCTCTCTGGTACACAGGTAAGTCTCAGTGGAATCTGTACCTTAATTCTCACCAGTCTGATTTCTGGGGCATCTGAATTGATCATTTGTGTTGTATTTAATGTTACAGTTACCACTCTCTTTTGATCACCTAGTGAAAGTCAGGCTTAGCATCTTGTAATTCATCACGTAATTTCCCATTTCTCTCTCCTAATGCTGTCATGCTGGCTTTTTGCAAAGCAAAGGCAGATGTCAATGACAGGAAAGGGTCTTAGTGGTTTGAGTCAGGATTTGCCACACCGGGGCGAGGGGCTGTAGCTTCCTACTAGGGAAGGCGGGGATGGCTGGTTGGAGGTTGTGGGGGCAGATTTCAGCCTGAGGGAACAATCTGGCCTGCTCTCTCCTTGCAGTTCTCCCCAGCCTCCACCCCCCTATAGACCACGTTGGGGCCCTAGAACTGGAGCATTCTGAGCAGCTGTGGAATGTGGCAGTAGCTACAGATTGGCCTCTGAGTGGGAAGGAAAAAGGCAGGGGAGGGTGGTGACGTAGGATTTGAAAGTATTATGGAAACCTATAAGGGTAGGATCACAAAGTGAGGAAGCGCTGCTCTAGAATCACAGGAGTGCTCACAAACTCTCCGCAAGCTCTTTAAAGTGGTACCAGCTGCTCATTTCTGCCTTTGGAGTCTCACCTGGAGGGTCACAAAAGTTGTCACTTCGTCGCCTGAAGTCAGAAATTACCTTTCCTAAGTGAACTTCAGAGCAAGAGTCAGCAGGCCTTTTTTGTGAAGGGCAAGACAGTAAATGCTTTAGGTTCTGCGGATCATATAGTCTGTCACAAGCATTCGCCTCTGCCCTTGCAGTGTAGGGAGCAGCCTTACACAGTAAACAAACAGCCGAGCAGATGCATGTCTCAGTTGAAGTTTATTTGCAAAAAGCAGGCGGCAGGATGGATTGGGCCTGTGGGCTGTAGTTTGTCCGGGCCCGGCTTCGGACCGAGTTCTGAACATCTTTTTCCCCTCTTGGGAGCGGTGTTGCCAGCTCTGATGGTCTCCACCACGCGTATGTCGTTGTCGCCCGCTAGCTCACGACACCTGTAGTTACGTGGACTGTGGCTTCTTTCCAGCGGACGCCTGTGGTCTACTGCGTGAGGTTAGCCAGGGCCCTCGTGGATGACTACTGCTGTCTGGTGCCAGGATCCGTGCAGACGCTGAAGCAGATACTCAGTGCCAGCCCTCGATTCTGCTGCCAGCTCATCACCTCTGTCACCGCGCTGTATGACCTATCCTCAGGTAAACTCCAGACGGGCCGTTAAAGCAGCTTAGGCGACTGCCACTTTTATTTCCACTGAACACCCAGGTGAAATGCCCAGTGGTCGCTTTGGCCTTTTTTTTTTTTTTTGCTATAAAAAGAATGTTTTCTTTTAGGCTGAAAGTGAAAGGAAGGGACCACCTGGACTTCTGGAATTTGCCAGCAGGGGAGCTTTCCTTGGTGCCTCCCACTTGCCTGACTCAGGAATGGTCCGAGTGGCAGGCAACCTGAAAACGCTGGCATCTGATGTCTGGGGAAGACGTGGTTTCTCCCCAGACGTGACTTGCTTTTTTTTTATGCCTCATTTTTTATTTTGGAAAATAGCAAAACTTTAGGAAGGTTTGAGACTGTTATAAGTTGGGACACTCTCACCTGGATTCACCCCCTGTTAACACTTGCCATGTTCTCTCTCTCTCCCTTTCTCTCTTCCTCTTCCCCTCTCACACACACTCCAAAGCATTTGGTTTTCCTGAACTTTTGAGAGTTTGTTATCAGCGTCATGTACCAAGTACTTAAGCACGTATCTCTCCCCCAAGAACAAGAGCTTTCCTTTACGTATCCCATGGTACCATTATCATGCCTAAGAAATTAAATATCGAGGGAATTCTATTATTTCTTATATAGCCTATATTCAGATTTCCTTAATTGTCTCAATAATGTCTTTTATAGCCTTTTCCCTCCCCTGCTTTGAAGGGTCAGGAGAGTTCAGGATCCCATCAGGGATCCTACATTATACATAGTTGTCATGTCACTTTGGTCTTTTTAAATCTTGAACAGATGAAGTATTTAAAAAAAAAATCTCTTAGGACATTGATGTTTTTTGAAGAGCTCAAGCCTGTTGTTTTGCAGAATATCCCTCAATTTAGATTTATCTGATTGTTTCCTTATGCAAGATTCAAGTTAAACATTTTTGGCAACAATCCTGCCTAGGCGGTGATGTGTCCTGGGCATATTGCAACAGGAGGCACGCTTGTCACTTCTACCGTGGTGACGTTTTTGAGGCTTTCTTCAGAAGATGCCAGGCGAAGTCCTCAGGGCAGCCAATAGATAGCATTTGACTTCAACTGGGAGAAGCCCCTGTCCCCTGTCCAGCATCAGAGCCCTCTGGTCAGATCGTTTTATGAAGGCTCCGAATAAAGAAAGCCAATACAGGTTGACCAGCTCTGGTTGAATTGGAGCAGGAGTCTCAGACCCACGCTCACTAGGCTCTGCTGCCTACTTGCCTCCCACAGGGGTGGGTTTCAAGGAACAGGGATTGACAAACAACACTTTGTGGAACATTGCGTCCTTTCACATCTGTGTCCTTGTGTGAGCCCCACAGCCCGTGCGGCCCCTGGACAGGGGCTCTGGTCCTGGATTTCCACATGGGGAAGTTTCGGGCCTCACCGTGGTGAGAGCTTTTTCTGCAGAGCTGGACTCCAAGCCTGGTCTTCTGTTTCAAGTTCCTCCTCCTTTGCCCTCAGCTCTTACCGCTCAGAGGGCTGACAGATCGTCTCTTATTCTGGTCTGATAGCTAAACCAGCAGCTGGAAAGCCTTCAGCAACATTTCCATTTGTGTTCAGTCCAGCAGCACCGGGATTATATTTGATTCTCCTTTTATTTGTACCTTTTTTCCCCTGCTGTTCAGTTTTTTAGTTCTCTTAGCAAAGTTTATGTGGACAGAGTGTGAACACTGAAGTGCATATCATAGTCATGTGTACTTTCAAACCGTTTCTGTCCCAGCGTTTTGCCCCTGGGCTGGGAGGCAGGTGTGAGTGGTGGGTGCCCTGCTGCTAGAGTGGGCTGTTCCCTGGTGCTCTCCTTCAAAGGCTGCCTCAGAGCTGTTCCTAGCTGGGGACAGGAGTCAGGCCCTCTGTTTTCCCATAGGAAAGGTCTCATTAAACCCATTGTACAGCATCACTGTGGCTTTTCCAAGCCATCAGTTATTCCAGCCCAACAAGGACGGAAATTACCTGGGACAGATTAAACATCGTGCAAAAGGCGGCAATGTTCGGAGCATACCGCCAGCATTCTAGAATGGATATGAGACTTGGTGTTTTTCTCTTAAGCCACTGTGCCCATCTGATGTGTTGGTGACCGTTTTACAACCACTTTATGGAGGTATGATCGATGTACCAAAAGCTGTGCATCTTTAACATATCCAGCTTGGTCAGTTTGGAGATGGGGAGGTCACCGGGTGCCTGGTGGTAGCCCTGGAGGCAGAGCTGGAGTCCACAGTCAGGATGGTGACTGATCTCCTCTTGGTGACAGAGCATTCCTGGGGAGTCTGTGCCTCCAAAATCACAAGACAGAAGCAGCTCACCTCAGGAGACAGAACCTTCTCTTGCCCGAATGGTGCAGAGAACTTGGGCCTTTGAATAGGAAGGTCATGGAGGTGATTCGCTCAAGCACGCGCACTCCCTGTACACCAGGCACATGGGGCTTTCAGGCTCTTGGAGACCCCTCTGCTTAGATGTGTGTGTGGCGGGGGACGGCTGAGAGGGTGGTATTCTGGACGCGTGGGTATGAGACTGGCATTCCTCAGACAGAAACCTCTCAGGGGGCTCGAGGGGCCAGACGCGGAGTCCCCCACCGTTTATTTTGCCAAGTGAAGATCACGGACGACAGCGGCTACCTACTGTTGGCCTCATTTATAACAGAAGGGCAGGGCACAGTTGAACACCCAGTCAGTAGGTAGGCATGATCTCAGGGAAGAAGGGCCATGTCTCTGGAGAAAGAGGAGCCTCCGCCCACACGTGTCTCTCTCACCCCACACTCCTATCTCATGATGGCTCTGGCTTCAGCATCCCGGAAGGGGTCCCACCATCCTTAGCTCTCCGTGAGCTGAGGGCTGCACAACCCCAGAGACAGGAGGCTGGGGACCCACTCCCACGCTTGTAGACAACTTCAGGGCGTTGTGTGCCAGTCCCAGGGGGCAGTGCAGCCCAATGCTTCAGAGCCAGGCCCTCTGGGGCCACATGTGGGCCCACCGCACCCTTTTCATGAGTCCTGGGGACGTGACTTAATATCACCCCGTGCCTCCTCCTCCCGATAACAGGTGGGTTGTTGGAGGAGTGAGTTGATCTGTGTAAAGGATTTAGACCAGTGCCTGGCGCATAGTAAACCCGAGATAAAGGTCAACATTTGTTTTTATTGTTCTCTGTCCAGGCTGTAGAATGTGCCAGGTCTCCAGGGTCACAGGAGGTCAGGCTGTGCTTAGACAAAGATTCCAGATCTGGGGCTGCTGAGATGGCTCTTGGCAGCTGACTGACCATTGACCGCACCTGAGCTGCTCTGTGAAGGCCACCGTAGCCGTCACTGGGCCACAGAGGAAACACCAGCAGAGGGACAGACCCTACTGTCTGGGAAGGGCTGAGGTGTGGCAGTTTGGGACATAAAGAATTCCCACAAAACATGTGGGAATTTAAATTGACCTGGGGGACGAACTTCAAGACGTGATGGAGTTCTAGGAAATTGTTGATTTAACAAATATGTTTTTGAGCCCTACGGTGGCCAAACAGTCCTGGCTCTGGGGAGAATCTGACTAAGACGGGAGCCCCAGGCCTGACGGAGGGGATGTTCTCGGAAAGGGGACAGAAAGTAGATAAGCAGAGCACATAGTCTGAATGTCAGGTGCTGAGTACTGTACCCGTAGGGGGTCCATCTCCCCGCCATCCACTTATGTCACTGGGGCTACAAACACATCTGACTTAAAGCATCTTTGTTGGCAGATGACCTCATCCCACCGTTGGACTTGCTTGAAATGATTGTCAGCTGGATTTTCGAGGACCCGAGGTTGATTCTCATCACTTTTTTAAATACTCCGATTGCAGCCAATCTTCCAATAGGATTTTTAGAGCTCACCCCGCTCACTGGATTGATCCGCTGGTGCGTGAAGGCCCCTCTGGCTTATAAAAGGAAGAAGAAGCCCTCCCTGTCTAATGGCCACGTCACTACCAAAGTTACAAAGGACTTGGGAGGGATGGACAGAGACTCCCACCTCCTGTACTCGAAACTCCACCTCAGCGTCCTGCAGGTCCTCATGATGCTCCAGGTGCACTTAACCGAGAAGAATCTGTATGGGCGCCTGGGCCTCATCCTGTTTGACCACATGGTCCCGCTGGTAGAGGAGATCAACAGGTTGGCAGATGAACTGAACCCCCTCAACGCCTCCCAGGAGATCGAGCTCTCTCTGGACCGGCTGGCGCAGGCTCTGCAGGTGGCCATGGCCTCCGGAGCACTGCTGTGCACAAGAGGTGGGTGACTCCCTGGCCCAGGCCCTCCCCGGGGGCAGGGCTGCCGCCACCCGCCCGCAGGAAAGCAGGGAGTCCTGGACGAATAGCTGTTCTCTGCTCTCTTACGACCTCTTTCCTCTTAGCACGGGACCCGGGTGAAGTTGCAGAGTGGACCCAGGTAGAGCACCAGCCGTGACGTCTTGCGTCTCCCGGCTGCTTTGCCCAGGACCAGGGACTCCTCACCATGTTTCCTCGTAGAGAATCTTTTCTTTTCCGGCAGCCCTTTTTTATTGAGGCATAAGCTATACAACACAGTGCACAGGTTCAAGTGCATGAAGCGTTCCCAGCACCTGTTTCTGGGTCTGTGATTCGCCTGCACTTCAGTGCTGGAAGGCTCCTGGTGTCCAGTGGCACCTCTGCTGGTTTGGTGACTGTGGGCTTGAAGACGTCGCCTGTGGCCCCAGGCGGTCGTCACTGTGATGTGTTTCCCACTTAGTGCCTTGGGCAGCTGATCCGCTCAGCGGGAGCCCTGCCTCTGGCCCTTTCCCAGCCATCGACAAACGGCCGATAACCTCCCTCCCTTCCTGAGTCTTGTATTCTGTTTGGGGCCTAGTTGTTAAAGCAAGAATCGAAGGAAGAGAGCGCAATTTCTAAGTGACGCTAGGAAAATGTAGTTAGGACGCTATCGCTCTCTTGCCAGCATCCTTGAGAAGAACTCAGTGAGCATTTCACCTTGTTTCCAGTCTGTTCCTTACTATGTATCTCCTTGATTTCAGATGACCTGAGAACCTTGTGCTCCAGGCTGCCCCATAATAAGTAAGTGCTCTCAGACTTGGGGCTGGGCTGGGCTGGCAGTGGACCCCTTATCCTGGCCTCCTTGGGGAGAGTTGGGCTGCAGGGTCTAGAGCTTCTGTATGTAAGGAGCCCCCTCAGGACCTGATCGTAAGTCGGGGATAGGATAGCATGACCCACATGAGAGAAAGCCCAAGTGGAGAGAAAAAAATCAAAGAGGTGCGGCCATATTGTCTGGGAGTCCAGGGAAGAAACCAGAGTAAGCTCAGAGTCATTTAGTCACTTGCTAAATTGGCATACATGGTTCGTGGTGACTTCCGACGTTCATGCACACACATTGTGGGTGACAGTGTGGGTGGCACAGCCCTTTGGGAAATCCTGCCGAGCCACGGCCCTAGGGCACAGCGTGTGTCCCTCAGGCTTTGTCGATGGGTAGCAGCACTTAGTGGGTTCTGAGCATGATTCTCACCGGTTTTCTGTGATGCATGGGCAGTTGCTTCTCCTGTCTCTGAGCCTCGGTTTCCTCCCTGGTAAAGCTGGGGGGATAATTCGCCTGTGTCACAGGGTTGTAGTGAGGATTAAATGAGGTCCTGGTCCCTGGCACGCAGGACTCTGAGTGTAAATGGTGCTTATTGTCATCATTTGGGAGAAGCAGTGCAAACAGTGGTGAAGAGCAGGGCTGTGTGGTCACATGGCTCCTGGGGAAAGGTCCGGGCTAGCTGCTTGCTCTCTGTATGACTCTGGGCGGCTTCCTGATCTTCCACTGCCTTGTTTTGTCTGTAAAATCGAGAAAATAATCGTACCTGCCTCATGTCCCCCTGCCTCTCCTGCCTCCACCCCTCGTAGGATTTTTGTGAGGACCAGAGTAAAAACACAGAAAGTGCTTGCAACAGTGGTGTTGTGTTTTTGCTGCATACTCGGTGTGTAGCAAGTATCTAAGAAGTATTAGCTGCTGTTCCGCTTACTATTATTGTCATAACGTAGGACTGTCACTTAATCTAATTAGTTTCACGGACTCTTAAGAAGCAAAAGCTGTGTGTGCAGAAGCGTTTCAGGCAAATGCAGTATCATGAGTAGCAAAATACCAGAAGCAACCTCATGGTCCAAAAGCATGCGGATACTTAGTAAATTTAGGAGTGATACATCAGAAGGACAGAAATTATGTATCCACTCCAAATAGCGATTGTGGCAACTAAGGGAGGAAGTGTTCGTAGGTGATTGCAGAACCCCATCCTAGCGTGCACAGGGACAGGAAACAGTGAAGTGAAGTTGGTAGGATTTCTAACATTCTCCTTTCTTCTGAGGCTCACATTGGCCTTTATCGGGGACAGAGGGGCTGGGGCTCCAGGGCTGGCAGAGGGTGAGCCCACAGCTGCCCAGGGCCTGGCCCACTGCCTCTGCCGGGGCCGGCGAGTCTGGGCACGTGTGGCAGGCTGATACCACGCATCACCTGAGGCCAGAGGAGCGGCCGGATGCCGGCCCACGGGCTGACAGCGAGAGTAGCTGCGGCCCAAGGACGGTTGGGGATCTCGGCGCCAGGCCCTGCGGCGGGAGGGCAGCTTCGGCGGGTATCTGGGCCGATCTGGAAACCAAATAGGTGGAGTGTGCTGGCTCCTGCTGGAACAGAACGGTCCCGCTTGACGTATTCTGTCCGCAGAATGGACAGCTTGTCCAGAGCGCCACCTGCCCCTCAGGAGCCCACACTGTCCTTTTTTTTTTTTCTTTTTCTCCCCCGTGGGCTCTAGAAAAATTCCCTGGCATCTCAGGACATAGTTACTAAGCTGGCATTTTTCTGCTCCTTTTGCAATAGTGTCTCTGTACTATTTCCCTGTTTTGTGCACAGCTGTTATCTAACATGTAATGTTTCAGAGTAACATGTATAGGGTCTAAGTCCTTTCTCGTCTTAGCGTTATGACCAGGGGTCCGCATTGGAGTCCCGTGGAACGTCTTCACAGCCTAAGCTGGGCCCTGTCCTCCTCTGACTCGGGTGTCGTGAAACGCGGCCTCCCAGGGGCAGCCTGGCAGCGACGCGGGGAAGGACCGGACACGGAGCCACTTGGAAAACTTCTTTGACTTCTGATAGTCTCTTTTCCGTTAATTGTCTTTCTGAATAGACTGGAAACTTTTTTTTTTTTTTTTAAGATTTTATTTATTTGAGAGAGAGAGACAGCAAGAGGGAACACAGGCAGGGGGAGTGGGAGAGGGAGAAGCAGGCTCCCTCGGAGCACGGAGCCTGACGCGGGGCTCGATCCCAGGACCCCGGGACCATGACCTGAGCCGAAGGCAGACGCTTAACGATTGAGCCACCCAGGCGCCCCTAGACTAGAAATTTCTTGAAACCCCTTTTATCTCTGGCAGGTTATGCGGATTCAGCCAAACTTATATGACTTAAATTTTGTTTCTGTAATACCTTCCTTAGATTTATTTCTTTGTTTGCTTATTTTGAGTGACTTTCTCATCCCAAGTTATAAAAAAGTGGTACCATCAATGAAAAGGGGCTCTGAAGAGCTTCAGGCCACCAGCTCTTCTTCGTGCCTTTGGTTTACTTTCTGAGCCCCTCCTGTGGGCTCTGAGCACCAGACTTTATACTCAGGGGCTGGGAGGGGGTTAGGGTCAGTCTGCAGAAGACTTAGCCCCCACTCTCAGGGCTCCAGGTGAGTGGCTGACAGTAGCCAGGGCAAACTGGCCTGAAGTTCCTGGATCAAGCAGGGCCATGTGCAGGGAAGGTGTGGCTTCGTGGGATGAGGAAGTCCTCAGGGTGAGTGATAGGCGTGAACGGGACCTGGCAGGCAGATTTGGTGGCGTGGAGAGACCAGCTTAGACACTGCGGAGACACTGGGGTGTGGCTGGAGAGCACGAGCAGAGTCGGTCTGTCCTCAGCGGGGAAAGGGGAGAGGCAGGGCTGGGAGAGGAGGCCTCTGTCCTGAAGAAGAGAGGGCAGAAGTTTCTCCGATTAGGGCATGATGGGTATTTGGGTTTGACTGTAGGTTGTGGGCCAGCTAAGGCCTGGGAAGCTCGTGGTGGTAGGAAAATTAGGAATCTGCCGATCTTGCTGGGAGGGAGTGTGGGGTTGGAGAGGATGGGACAAATCAGAGGAACTCTTCAGGGAGTTTTGGAAGGGACCAATATTGGAAACCGTGAGGGATTCCAGGAGGAAGGCTGAGGCCGTGGATGTCCTGAGCCACAGAGAGGAGAGCACAGGCCCGAGGGGGCGCATGGCTCCCAGGGCTTGGGGTGGTTGTGGGTGGAAGGGAGTTGGCGAAGGAGTGATGGGGTCCTCCTGCGGAGACCCGGGGTGTGATGCGTAGGGCTGCAGTGTGGCTTCAGAAGGCTCTCATCCCAGAAGTGAAGGAGCAAATAAGCAGGAGGGTGGGGAGTTGGGGGGGGGGGGGGCGGGGAGGTGGCCCCTAAAGGTGGGTAAGGGCTGGGTCTGGGCCTGGGCCATGCTGAGGGCAGGGCCTATCCCATGCTCATGTCAGAGTCTCTGAAAGGCCTGCTTTCATGTGGCTGTGCTTGCAGTTCAGTTGGGACTCAGTCATGACGAGTGAGGTTGAGAACACTGAGCTGCTGTGTGCTTGCCACGTGCAAGGTCCTAACCCTCTCAAGTGTAGGTGGTTGGGGCTGAACCCAGGCCACAGATGCTGAGGCTGTGCGCAGAGCTTCCGTGGACTCTAAGCCCTGGTGCGGACCCCCCCCCCCGAAGTCCTGTCCCCTCCTGGCCTTGGGCACCCGCCCCCTGGGTTTCCTCGGTTCCCCCCCCTGGAATTGTCGCCTGCCCCCCCCAGGTCCCTTGCCGCTCGCCCGCCCCCCCCACAAGCCACCCCCATCTGCCCCAAGTTGACAGATTTCCCCCTTCTGGAAACCTCCGTGTTCTGTGCCTGCCTCCGGTGCCTGTCGCTGTGCATGTGTGAGGCCACGGCCGTGCCCAGGCCCCCCCTCCCTTCCGGGGGCGCCACGTCCACGAGGGGACAGGCTAGCCCAGCCGCCGTGTGCCTAACCCTTGACCCTTGTCCTTGTATTCGCAGCCTGCTCCAGCTGGTGATCTCGGGCCCCGTGCAACAGGCACCACACGCGGCGCTGCCCCCCGGCTTCTATCCTCACATCCACACGCCCCCGCTGGGCTACGGGGCTGTGCCGGCCCACCCCGCCGCCCACCCCGCCCTGCCCACGCACCCGGGGCACACGTTCATGTCGGGCATGACCTTCCCGTTCAGGCCCATCCGCTAGACCGGCCCCGGTGCTGCCGAGGGACAGTGTGCCCTCCGCCCGGGCCGGAGGAAGCCTTCCAGAGAAGGGGGAAGCTGCCCCATCGAAGAGGACCTTTTGGGGGCAGCCGGCAGTCCCTCGTCCCCAGCAGGACTGTCTTGGTGCGGGAGTTGCGCGGCGTCGCAGCCCGGGGGCCCTCCCCGCCGGGTCACGATCGCAGAAGTCCAGATGGGAGGCATGGAAGGAAGGACGGATGGCGCCCGCCCAGCCACGTGGGCGTCCTGCCGAAGTCGCCGATTCCACCAGCCGGTGTCTGTGGGTCGTTTCAGACGCGCCCGGAGCCCGTGCTGCCCTGAGCAGAGCTGCGATGAGCAGCATTTGCAAGTCCCTTTGGCATCTGTGCGCGGGAATGTGACGGCCCCACCACCCGGTGTCCCTAGGAGCTCTGTGAGCTCGAAGCTGGGCCCCGGCATGGGCCAGGCAGGGAGCCGGGCAGGGGGCTGCGCGAGGACTGCCCGTCCGGCCCAGGAGCTCCTCTGTTTTATTGGGGTCTAAATTTTCCTTTCATATGTTCAAATAAATTTTTTTTCTAAACAGTTTTATAGACTTTTATGGACTATTTTTAAAACATAGTCAATGTTTTGAGCGGCAGTGGTTTCCTTGTGGGTCTGCAGTGATGGGGTAAGAAGTTTGAATACAATTTTAGGCACTTGTCTTAACAGAAGCACTGCCGACCGTATCCCCTCCACCCTGACGCCCCCACAAGTCTGTCTGCTTCCCTCTGTTTTTGTCATTCCACACGATGGAGGCTATCTGCTTTGAGTTCTCATTTACTAGTTTGGGAAGGAAATGATGACACTGAGCTTGAGCTCCCCTGGGCTAGAAGTGAGGCATGAGAGACACTTACTGCGAACAGTGAGCAATAACGGGCTAAGATGAACTTGTGGCTTGTCTACCCTTCTATTCCTGGCCGCACACCATGACCTGGGAGACCAGACCAAACCAGCCTGCCCAATAAATTCCCGTGTGTGTGTGTGTGTGTGTGTGTGTGTGTGTGTGTGTGTGTGTGTGGTTTTTTTTAAGTCTGGGGTTCAGGGCATCCTTCGAGATGAGGAGCATGAGCTGATGCAGCTGCAGCATAGGGGCCGTCCTTGGTTGGAGAGGGTCCCGACCACCTGTGCTTTCTCAGCCGCACAAGCCTGTGGCTTTCTTTGGGCCCTGGCAGTGCTCAGCTGGGTTCCCAGAGCTGCAGCGGGTGGGGAGGAACCGGCCTGCAAGCCAGCCTCTCAGGAATCGGGTTTTAAACTGCTTTTGAGAGCCATGAGCTAGAAAGGAAATTGCTCTTTCTTTGACTTTGATTTCATTATTCTTGGTTGATTGTGTTCCCTGTTTATGTGTTTATCTGCTGAGGTCAGATCAGGAACTGAAGTAAAAAAGTAAAAGTAAATATCTGCTTCCCTGTCTTGGTGGGACACACCCATGAAACTAAGGAGATGAGCGCTTGGCTTGTGCTTGGTGTTCAACTCTGTTGCCAAGTGTTTTCTGAAAAGCATGGAAAAGAAGCTCTCCTATATCTGTGTAGTTAGAGGAGGTCTGTGAGCATGGCTCTGTCCCAGAAGGACCAAATTTCCACCAAATTTCTAGGGACTAGTTATGGCCTAGCTCCTCTCAGACCCAAGGTGGTTTTTGCCATGAATGACTAGGTGAACAGACAGGGGGAGGGGAGGGAGGAAGGAAAAATTGAGGAAATAGAGCTACTGGAGCCCCGACTTTCTTTGGTGGTGGTTCTAGTAGTATGTGAGTAATTAAGTCAACTTATTAAAAATGTAGGTATATGTGGACTCTATACACCTTTACCAGTTTTTGCCTTTTCACCTATTAAAAATGAGAAATAGTTCCTGTTTACTAATTATGTGCCAGGCTCTTGCTAATGAGTATTTTATACATACATTAAAAATCTGTATATGAGGACACCTTGGTGGCTCAGTTGGTTAAGCAACTGCCTTCGGCTCAGGTCATGATCCTGGAGTCCCAGGATCGAGACCTGCATTGGGCTCCCTGCTCGGCGGGAAGCCTGCTTCTCCCTCTGACCCTCTTCCCTCTCGTGCTCTCTATCTCTCATTCTCTCTCTCTCTCGAATAAATAAATAAAATCTTTAAAAAAAATAAAAAAATAAAATAAAAATTTGTATATGAGAAAATATGCACGGAGTATAAAATGAAGTATTTCTATAGAGAATGTATCAAAAACTACAAATTAATCAAAAGACATCCCAATAAAAAAATGAGTGAGGGACAGGAACAGATAGTTCATCGAAAATAAAAATGACCAATAAAAGAAAAAGATTCTAAAACTGGTAACCAGGGAAATAGAAATTAAAAAGAGATGCCATGATTTCCATTTACCCATCAGATTGGCAAAATTGGAAGTAGCTAATGGTCTGAAGAAACAATGATCACACTGTTTATGTAGATAACTGGTTTAGCCACTCTGGAGAAATGGAAAAATAGAGTGGCCCCATGGCCCAGCAATCCCAGAACCCAAAAGGAGGGTGTTCAAGGATGTTCATAGCAGTTATTGTTTGTTTTTTTAAGTAACAGTTTTATGGAGAGAGAATTCACTTACCCAATTCACTCATTTCGAGTGCACAATTCGGTGGTTGTATATTTACAGAGTTGTGCAAACAAATATCACCACTCCTTATTTTAGAACATTTCATCATCCCCCAAAAGAAATCCTGCACCCATTAGTACCCTCTCCCCCTCTCCCCCACAGCCCCCGGCAACCAACCTACTATCCGTCTCTCTGGATTTGCCTGTTCTGAACGTCTCATATGAATGGAATCATACAGACGTGGTCTTTTATGACTGGCTTCTTTCACTTAGCATCATATGTGTGGGGTTCATCCACGTCGCAGCATGAATCAGCACTTCATTACCTTTTACGGCCAAATAATACCCCATTGTATGGATGTGTCACATTTTGTTTACGCATTCATTGGTTGATGGATGCTTGAATGCTTTGGCTCGTATGAACATTTCTGCTATGAACACTTGTGTACGAGGTTTTGTGTGGGCGTATGTTTTCAGTGTTCTCAGACACACACACACACCCCCCCTATGGAAATGCTGGGTGCAGCACTTTTTTTTTTTCTTTTTTAAAGGAAAATCCAGAAACTGCTTAATAGCCTCAGGAGAGGTCTCGCCAACTAGGAGTTGTAAATTCAGATGTCTTTAGAGACCAGGCGGGGTGTTGTCAATGGGTGAAGAAGCTAACGGAATTAGACACCAGGGGTTACCAAGTACTGTGTCAAACTGGGGAAATTCTAGGGGTGCCGTATCTGGGCACCCAGGCCAAGGTGAATGTTGCCAGAACTTCTGAGTATTCAAGAGAAGATGGAAATCAATTTTTTGATATGTTTTCCTAATTTGAAAACATCTCTTGGAAAGTAATCTATGATAATAGAAGTCAAGATGGTGGTGAAGGGTAGGTGTCAGCTGTGTGTCCTGGAAATGGGGTAATGGCCAAAGGAGACCTTGTCCTATCTCTGTTGTTTTAAAGTTTCAATTTTGTTTTAAGTCTTTTAATGAAAAGAGAAGTCCACTTTTGACAGATCTACTAGCCAATATTGCACACATTTTACTTTTTTACAAGGACAATGTATTCTTGTTACTTGTCTAATTAAAAACTAATTTTTAAAAAGTGCATGGTAGAACTTCTATCTCTGGTCATGATGGGCTGGATCTTTCGGACCAACCTTTCTGCTTTAACTAAAAATGCTGGATGAAATGCAGAAATATCTTGAAGTATGGAAGAGCCAACAGGTTGTAAAGAACTTCCAGGTCAAATGCTGGCGGAGGCGGGGGGGGCGCTGGCGGGGGCAGCAACCAAGAGGCAGCTAAGGTGCACTGAAGCCCTTTGCCCTGAGGGTCTCAGGGGTTAAGGGTTCGAGGTAAGAGTCTACTAGGAGACCCCCCTCTCTATTTTGCTATGTCAAGGACTAACATACACCCTCCGTAAAAACAGAAGACTGCGGGGAAGGTGGCTCCAGCACCATGCAGAGCATGGGGGATAAAATCAAAGTCTTGTTCCTGAGAACTGAGGGACAGGGACCAGAACTCACCCCTGTTGATAGTATGAGGAAACCTCCCTCTATGACCTCAGTTCTCGGGGATTCCTACACTTGTAAGTCCTCCCTGGTGCCTGGCAGAGCAAATGCATATCCTCTGGAGGAAAGGCATTTATCCTAGGCTTTAAGGAGCCCACAAACAACTGTTCAAGGACAGCAACCAGCATACAGTGAAAAATGAGCAAGGTGCCACAGGCGGGCACCAGCGGCTGCAACCCACAGCAGAAACAAAGCTCAGAAAGTCAGAACTGTCAGGGTCAGACTCTACCCCAATCATGCTTACTTTGTTTAAAGGAATAAAAAGACAAGTGTGGAGCTGTAGGGAAAAAGAAAGCATGAATGACCTAGCAGACTTGGAAAAGAGCCAGATGGAACTTCTAGAAATGAAAAGTGGAATCACCTACTTAATTCAGTTAGCGAGGAGCGGGTGGGCGTGCAAAAGGGTGCAACCCCCTCGGAAAGAAATGTGGCAATACCTAGCAAAATTGCATGTGGATTTGCCCTTTACCTAGGAATCTGCTACTTCCAGGGCCATGCCCTAACGATCCAGTGGCAGAAATACAAACCAATATCCATACAGGGCTTTTCACTACAGCATTCTGCGTAAGAGCAAAGACTGAACACTTCCCACGAGCCTCTCAACAGATGCATTATCCACATGGTGGAGCGTGAACCGTTAAGAAAAAGATATATTCTGCCATGGGAGTGACAGCTAGGATTTACAGCTCATTAAAAAGGAAAAATCAAGGCCCGGAAAAGTGTTTACTGTGTGCTACCTCTGCATAAGAAAGGTGGGGGAAACATAAATTAAAATGCAGGCAAGATAAAGTGGGGACTAGTAAAACAGTAGCCTGGGGGGAAGAGGGGAGGAGCAGACTCTAGCAATTACACCTGCTGAATGCATCTTGTTTTTGTAGTTTCGACTTCGGGGCCATGTCAGTGTTTAACCTCATTAAGTCAGAAACATAAAAGCAAACTGAAGCAAAGGAAATTAACTTGGTATCTGAATTGTTAGCATAGCCGTACAGAAAAGAAAGTGTCCAGTTATTTTATTTTTTTAAAAGATTTGATTTATTTATTTGACAGAGACACAGCGAGAGAGGGAACACAAGCAGGGGGAGTGGGAGAGGGAGAAGCAGGCTTCCCGCGGAGCAGGGAGCCCGATGCGGGGCTCGATCCCAGGACCCTGGGATCATGACCTGAGCCGAAGGCAGACGCTTAACGACTGAGCCACCCAGGCGCCCCAAGTGCTTTCCTCAACTTACGGAATGATGTTCAACATCAAGAATTTTTTTTAATGGAAATTAAAGCAGTGAAGTAATTTTGCCTATCACCTTGGCAGTGGTTAAAAAAAAAAGAAATGTTAGCAAGTGCATGGGGCAGAATTACTGGCCGTGTGATGCCAGCCAGCCACCTTCTTCCCATCAAGAACCTTGTTTGGGGCACATTCTTGACAGGCACCTGCTCTAG